TTCATCTATCTGTGCAGCCTTCACAACTCAAGAGTACCAGAATAGCTGTTTTATCTCAGAGTATCAACCGACTGAAGAAAAAAACCATTTGTGTGTCATCCCCTTAGTGCTACAACACACATGCATGACAATCGTTTGCTCTGAAATATTCACAAGCTGAAAGCCAAATGTTTCCTCATTCTTAGACAGATTTGAAACCCATGTTAGCTCAGAGACTGAGCAGACAGATAACACTAAAGCTGCACTTCTTTCAGTGCTGAAAGAAGCTTTTATGGTGGGAAAATGGTGGGTCCCAAAATCAAGTCCTGATTGGATGATCCAAATTAATTTTCAAGTTCCAGGTAGAGAGACTGCAGCCTGTTAAGTCTGTGGTGTATTCACTGAAAGAGTTCATAATTACTAACAACAAAAGAAAGATTTTCTGGTGATGTACTTTATTACAGGCTGAACCAGAAAAACAATAATCATCTGCATGAGGTCTGACGCAGATATGTAATCAAGGCTTCTTGTAGACTTCGACCTTCATAGAAATTTTCATAGTGGCCTCTATAGAGCCATTTTGTATCCTACATGCCTCGGACCTAAAATCAAAAATGTAATTTTCATCCATTCTGATGCATGTGTGAGGCACAAATTAATATACAGAGCAATTCCACTCAAGCCCTGAAAATACAAATACAGAGGAAATGTCTCTGGTTTTAGTCAGAACTAATCTCGAGAGGCTCTGCTGCAGATGTTTACTGCCCTGTGAGCCAACTGTCTGTATTATTGTAATGCACCGTTTTTCCTGTTTTGAACCTCTCAAAATTGGGCTCCAGAAAAACACCAACTATTACATATAAAAGAAAAAAGTGACACAAACACCGAAACCAGTTAAAAACTCAACTAAGTCTGAACATTTCTTAAGAATAAAAAACTAAAGTGAAATGAAAAAACCCTCTCTGCAAAGTAAGTGAAATTAAACTTAACTGAAAACTAAAGGTTTCAAAATATAAAACTCTACTAATTCTGGTTCTGACATGACAGCAGTCAGTCATGTAAAATACAATCAATAAGGCACCAGGATTCTGAAATATTTAGAAAACAAAGAAACAGCTAGGGGACCACAGTGAGTATGACACACTGACATGGGGTAACGTTTTCCCAGTTAATCTGGAAAATTGATGTCACAGCTGAGGTAAAGATAAGAAACATGATGAAACATTACAGATCATCTCTTCTCCTCAGTCACTTGACAGATCAAGTGACTGGGGGGAAAAAACAAAACAAAAAAACCAACCAAAAAACAAAACCCACCACGATAAATATTATGTCGTGCCACTGCCTCCTTCTCGTGTACATACCTGCAGGTCTATCTTCAGCCATTTGTCATGAAATCTCAGCTGAGCATCGAGGGTAAATGATGGAGAAGGCATCTTTCCCTCTCCTCTCTGGGCTGCAAACGCAGCCAACCTGCAAGAAAACCATGCAACAAGGAGTGCTATAAAAAGACAATTTAATAAAGTCACTGCAAGGTGGGAATCCACAAATAATGACAAAGTAAGTACATGAAAACGGACTGAGCTTTATGACCATCAATTACAAACTTTACTTTTCAGGCTTGTTTCAAGTTTTCCCTTCATATACTACTTTTTAGTGACTTCATCCCAGGTAAAGTCAGTAAAATCATTAAAAACATGTCTGTTTTTATCCTGACGATTATCGCTGAAGTGAAGACAATTAGATGGATGAGCTCAGCGAGGTAACGAAGAACCAGAGGGAACACAGTGAAAGCAGTTTGATGTGTTTCAAGAAGACCTTTCTAGTAGGGGTGGGCGATATATTGAATATAATGGATGTATCGCAAGTTTTTCTGCGTATGATGGCTATACTCAATGGTTTTATCGTAACCATCGAGTATAGGTTGCCATGGAAATATTAAGCTGTCTGCATGAAATTTAATATGTTTTTTTTTCTTCCACATGCCACGAATGCATTGATTCCCATTCCCAAGTGGAAGATTTTCTACCCAGCAGAATGCGTCGAGTACGCATGTTTATATCCCACCAGATAGGGAAAAATATGGCGACAGTGGAAGTTAGATACCTGAGTGGAAGACTCACTGTTGTTTGGATTTCATAAGCAGGATGTCGAACAAAATGCAGTAATTTGCAAAACAATTTGCAAACTATTATCGCAAAAGGTAGCAGTACCATGAAATTATTCCACCAGCTTAAAAGTCATCCACTGCAAAATTAAGACCGTTTTAAACTTTGCATGTGAAGGTCTTCGCACACACAGAAGAAAACGTTTAATAAACCAGCTGTGATACAACGGCTATCAGTGAGAGAGTAAGACTGAGTCCGTGTTATTGTATACTTGAGGCTGGTTCAGTGAATTTTGGTCAGAGCGTGACAAAACTTGCAGTTTCGAAATCTGCAAGATCTCTGCTTTTAGACAATGCACAATTTGCTTCGTTACAAAAAGTCAAGGGAGTTTGTGGCTTTGTTTTCTGTGTTTAGGGACATTTCGCAAAATTGCGTAATTGCTCTTTTAATTGTTTGTAGTTTTCACTGTGTTTAGTGGTTGTAGAAATGGTTCACATGAGCTTTTCACCGAGATTCTGAAGTTTCTGTGGATACCACACATGCCGATCTTTACATGAAAAACTTGATTTCATGGAGGCTTAAAACTGCAGCTCACCCCCTTTGCCCACGTTACCACGGGTGCTGGGGCTCAAGACATATCGTGATATATATCGTGTATCGCAACAAAGCCAAAACATTTTGTGATATTAGATTTTCCTCATATTGCCCAGCCCTACTTCCTAGACCACAGTAATTACTTCTATTCTAGTTTCCAGGTGGAAAGGAATGTGAATCTGAGTGGAATTGTGCTGCTTGCGCTGTGATATAATCTCAGACATTTTCATGCAAAGCAGTGTCTCTGTTAGCTGTTTGAATGTGTCTGTGTTTCTTCTCCTCCATCATGGCTATTCAAATTCAGTTGGAATCCTCACACTATTTTGATTCCTTCACTGTTTGATGCAGAAGTCATCCAAATAACTGTGGCTGTGGATAATACATTGACCACTCTCTGCAAAACATCTGTTCCTCTTGTGCTGCCTGATCCTGTAATACCTACACTTATCCGTTAGATAATCCATCAATATAATGGTGATTTACACTGTTGCTCATATAGCTGATACACAGGTATATGCTCCATTTAGCCTATTTAGTAACAAAATGCATTTCTTTCTTCAGTTCAAAGAGTCCAGATCTGAAGCTCTTTTATTATTCCTTCCATATCTGACCTGGAACCTGAATAAAAACCTTGAAAATCTGCCCTCAGCATCAATCTGAATGTGATCTTTGACTTTGAGCTGTGCTTTCACACACAAATTAATAAGGCCGTACTGGCTAGCCTTCCCCAGCGAAGAAATACATTTAATAATTTTTTGTTTTACATCTCTAACGCATCTTGATAAAGTCATCAACTCCTTCCTAGCATCAGGTTTAGACTTCTACAATTTCCTCTACTCTAATCTGTGCCAAAGGTCCCACATCCACCTAAACTGCCAGAGATGAAACCACATCACCATCCTCGATGTCCACACTGGCCAACTCTTAGGTATCAGATAGATTTTAACTTAAAGTAATTACTTTTAAAGCCTGCTTATGGATTTAGTCAAACCTTATGAACCTCACACCCTCCATAACTGCTTCTAAGGCTTGTCTCATTACAAATGGTATCACTGTTTGCTGTTAGAAAAGGAACTGAGACTACTATAGATGACTGCCATCACACAATGGATATTTAGAAGAAGACTATTTTTCTTCTTCTTTTAGCAGTTACCACATCAGATCACCTGCCTCAACCTCACTCTATCCCTAGTATCCTCTGTCACGCCAACCCTCTGCATGTCCTCCTTCACTACATCCATGATGACGTCACTTGGGGTCCTTATGCCAGACAATTTCATCTTCAATATCCTTCAGTTTTGTTGGCTGTTTGACACAGAAAGTAGTATACAGCAACGACTATACTAGTTTAGTGTTTTAATATCATGTTAATGTTACTTCGTTTTATATAAATATTCGTCTGTGTGTGTAGAGTGACAGTAAGGAAAGCTCTCCATAGTCAGGTAATATGAAAAGGCGTGTAAACAAATGGGAAACTTGGACTCGAATATTCACTGACAGATGATGCATAAAAATGTGATTAGGCAGTAAGTGGGTTGAGTTTTAGCAGCTGGGTTTGAAAAACAACTTTACATAAGACAAGAAAGACTCATCCATAACAGGGGTAGTAATAATTATAACCTAATCAGAGCATAAATAAGGCGTTGAACGACGTTAAATAACATGAAGGCGATTATGATTTGGGGCCAGAAATGTTTCAGCTACATAAATCGCTGGGAGGAAAACAGCAGATCGCAGCATTGCATGCTAGCAAAAGCAGTGATAACCTTGATGTTTTGACGCTATTTCCCCACACATGATAACAAACAGCAGTCAGAGAACACCGCACACTGACACAGCATCACTGAGCTCATAAAGCTGTACCTAACGCTGGGCAGCGTTAGCTTGGCACTAAAGCTAATCACTTAGCCTGCTAGCCAGCTAGCACTAGCCCGTGCTAAAGCAGCTCTTATGCAGGCGCTGATAAACGAGCTGCTGTGAGCTGACACCGAACCGAGCGACACGCAGCGGGTCACGGAGCTCAGTAACACAGACAGGAACATGTCAGTTTTCAGCAACAACGCTGTGAATTACCTGCGGTTTCTTCTCAATCTGCTCTCGTCCCCTCAACTGCTCTGCTGCATTAACGAGACCTTCATTATGGGCTTGATTGACGGATCGCGAACTAGTGCACGAGACATGGAAACAAATTACGTAGTTTTAACTGCCTGCTTCAATGCGATGCATGTGTATCACCACAGCGTACCCACGGGCGGGGTTTATTGCGCAAGAGGCGGCAATGTTGATTCCACTGATTCCAGTGCGGCCGCCCTGCGCGCGCAGAGCGGTGTTATAAAATTAACGCTACTTTCAGACTTGAGGCGGGACATAGGAGAGGCTGGGCTGACCTGGGGTGAAGCTGAGATGTCCGTTGGGTGTCGCTGTGGCTCAAAGAAACGGGAAGTAAACAGAGCAGCAGTAATGGCCTCTGACTCAGGACTACCGGCAGTTTCTTCTCAAAATCTGGGAATAACAATAGCTATAATATCAAGTTTCATTAATGGGTCGACATTTGTGCTGCAGAAAAAAGGGATACTACGTTCCCGCCACAGAGGTAAAGCACAGAAACAGTAAACGTGGCTGTTTGTGGATTAATAGAGACTGACTGAAGTTTTGAATGTTCTCCAACAGGAAGGTCGTACCTCACAGATGTGGTGTGGTGGAGTGGGACACTGTGTAGTGAGTATCATTTACAGACTTGGTGTGTTATTTAGAAAATTATATGTCTCACACACCTGTCTGTGAATCTCTGCAGTGATTACGGGTCAGGTTGGTAATTTCCTGGCATACAATGTGGCCCCTGCGGTGGTAGTTACTCCTCTGGGAGCCCTGGGAGTGCTGTTTGGGTGAGTTCAGTTGCTCGTCATTTGGTTGTTTGTTTCTTAAGTATTCAGCTCCACGTGGAATCTTTTTGGGCTAAACTAAAAACATCATACAGAAGTTTTAATCAACTCCTCATGGGCATGAATATCATGGTCATTTTGAGCTATATATGTACAACATACGTCTTTAATGTCTTTATAGGTCCAACCATAAATCTATATAACCCCACTAATATTTTGTTTAATTCTATATAGTACCAAATCAACCACTCTTCTTGCTATATTTGGTAGAATTAATTTAAGCTGCTTTATTTCCTGGCACTGACCCCGCTTTTAAGTGTTATCCACTAATTTTCATTTAGGATTGTGGTTCCAAAAGCATTTCCAAAGCATTATGTTATCCTGCTTTAGTAATTCCAAGAGCAGTTTTAAGTATTAATGTGTGTTTGAAGCATTAACTTTTAACAATCGAATTGGGGTTAAGCTGAAGAATTTGGAGGTAGTCGGTCTTCATCATTAGTCAATCCACTTTTTGCAATCTACCAGTACCGTCGAAGCAAAGCAGCCTGAGAGCATGATACTACCACCACCATGCTTAACAGATCGTGTAGTGTTTTTAGGTTTGAAGGACTCACCTTTACTCCAAACATACCTTTTGTCATTTGTTAAAATAGATAAAAATGTTCTCGTCTGACCTTTTCTCCAGGAAACATTTGACTTGTCCACCTGGGCATTTGCAATTTTAAATCAAGCTGTTGGAGGTTTTGATTTTGGAGCAGGGGTTTCTTTCTTGGTGGTTCCCTCTCAGTTCATGGCGATGTAAAATTTGCTTCACTGTGTACAGCGATGCTGGTGTTACAACAGGTTCCAGCTTATGGCATGCTTGAGCCTTGATGGTTCCTTGGTTGTTCCCCAAAAATACTTACCAATTTCCTCTCATCCAAGGGAGACAGTTTTGGTCTTCGTTCAGACTTTAGCAAAGTGGTGATATATCTGAGTAACTTGTATTTATCTACGGTTGTTTGAATTGATAATTCTGCAGTTGCTTAGAAATGGATTCAAGAGACCTTTTCAACTTGCGTAAAACTACAATTTTTATTCTTAGATCTTCACTGAGTTCCTTGGATTTGTTCTGAGTATTGGTCAGTCTATTGAGTGTTGTCAAACAAATCCTTTTTAATGCTGGCAAACAGCAACAACCAAAGTCAATCATGACCACTAACAAGAAGTTAACAGTCCTTGGCCTTGTCAACTTCGTAAAACCTGCAGCATCACTTATTAAAAAAATTAAAGTGAGTGTGTATGTTTATTTGTGTTTGTATCTATATTTTTGACTCTGTCTGGATTACAGAAAATCCAAAATAAATTCAAACTTGTGCACCCAACTCTTCTTTTTTTGAAGTCGTTACAGATTTATGTTCAAAGAAATAATTACAAGTCAACGATCAGAGCTTAATCTGCCCCTGCTGATGAGAAGCTAGATACACCATTTCATTTACCCATTAACGCTTAAATGTAAGTTAGATTTGGCTTTTAAAATTGAAAAAGTGAAGAGGATGGGGCCTAGTAGTGAGCTATGCGGAACACTTCCTGTGACTCACCACAAAACCAGACCAGATGTTCACACTTACAGCATCGTATATTGGCACACATTTATTTCAGTAAAAACAAATCAAAAACTGTCACGGGTCACTGAGCAGATAAACAAAAAAACTGACACCACACAGTGTCAGATCTCCACCCAGGCAGTGGGACATAAAGACAGCACTATCAGTTCCCTGCAGCCAAATAATGTTTGTTTGTTTTTTGAGCATCACATGATCTTGCTGTGTGGCGTTTATATCGTGTCTTATGTTCCTTTTCTTTTGCTGTTTTGTTTGTATACACTGAGTAACACGTTTAAATCCCCTGCTTTCCAGTGGACAACAAAGTTTTCTGATTCTGAAATGGTTTTTAAGGTATAACAGTGAGCATCCTTATTTCTTTTTGTCCACTGATTGATTATTTATTTGAGACTTGGGAAAACGGTTATTAAAAGACAAATCTCGATTTCTGACAGCAGAATGTTTGTGTTACTTTAACCTGAGAGGATTAAACTTCTCGCCCTGTTGAATCAGTTGTTTCTGTTGCACTTGAAGACATAAATCCTTATATCCCTATCACTGCCACACCTCTCATCTGACAGGTATGTTACTTGAAGTTGTAAATCTTCTACTTTAGGTAACATGCCTGAAGTTGAAGATCAACTGTAAAAAGCTGATAATTTTTTTGTTATTTTAAAAATAAAATCATGTCTGTCAGTCAACGCCAGCATCTGTAAATCATATAACTTAATGAAACTGGATCACCGGTTGTAGGTGTGTAAAACTGTCGGGACACAGCCAATAAATCTCAGCCACTCCTTTCAGTAAAGGTCCTCTTTATTTGCTGATGGGAGTCAACAGTATGATTAATATTTACAGCCTTTAAACTGTTGGTAGTATTAGTGAATGGTTTAAATGATACTGCTGCATCATTTAAACCAGGGGTGGGTGAACTCCAGGCCTCAAGGGCTGGTGTCCTGCAGGTTTTAGATGCGTCCTTCATCCAACACAGTTGATCTAAATGGCTTAATTACCTCCTCAACATGTCTTGAAGTTTTCCAGAGGCCTGGTAATGAACTACAGTAATCATTTGATTCAGTTGTACTGACCCAGGGTGAGATCTAAAACCTGCAGGACACCAGCCCTTGAGGCCTGGAGTTCCCCACCCCTGATTTAAGCTCTACAAGAGATGAAACTGTTTAAACACTTTAATTTCTTGAACTTTTGACAGTGTGTGTTTGGGTGCTGCAGGGCTGTGTTGGCCTCCTGGATCTTGAAAGAGCATTTAAGCATCCTGGGGAAGCTCGGCTGTGTTTTATGCTGCTGCGGCTCTGTGGTGCTCATCATTCACGCCCCGACAGCAGAGGCAACTTCAAGGCTCGAGTTGGAGGAGAGGCTCCTCGACCCAGGTAACGCAGAGGGGCTCTTTATTTGCTGTTTCCTTCACACTGATTATGCACTTAATCAGTCATTCTGTTTTACACCAACATTATATATGTATATGTGTATATACATTTCCTCATCTGACTGATCTGTTGTGTCCAAAAACTTTTCAGTAGGCCATTAAATACCAACATACACTTTACTTTGCAGACAGTAAAAAGGACTATAGTTAGTGTGTAATACAACTTCTCTACACCTGCTCCTAAAATAACTCTTCATTTCTCTTGTTGTCCTGCAGTGTTTGTCACGTACGCCCTTGTGGTGGTCCTGCTGCTGGTCATTCTCATCGTGTGGGTCGCTCCAGCTCATGGCACATCTAACATCATGGTGTACGTTGCCATATGTTCCTTGCTGGGAAGCTTCACAGTGCCGAGCAGCAAAGGCCTCGGCTTGGCGGTTCCGGACGCATTCGGCGAGGGCCCGTCAAGCAGCAGGGCTCGGGCGCTCTTCCTGGGCTTGCTGGGCACGCTGGCTGTCAGTATCCTCACACAGTTCTTCTTCATCAACAAGGCGCTGGAGTGTTTCAGCTCCAACATATTTGAAGCGATTTACTATGTGACGTTCACGTCCACCGTGATTTTAGCTTCCGGTCTTCTCTTTAAGGAGTGGACCGCGCTGACTATAACAGACAGCCTCGCCATACTGTGTGCTTTAACCACGGTGTGCGTCGGTGTTGTTTTACTGCACATTTCCCAGGAGGCGCTGATTACGTGGAAGAAAAAAGAGGAAAAGTCAGACTGATTCAGATGCCTTTTAATCCTTTACATCGTGTCTGCGCCAAAGTTGAGTTCCTGAGACTTTTTCCTACCTCCAGTTTGAATGACCAAAACAACATAAGATATATAGTTAGTTTATTTGATCTTAAATATGTTTGAAGTAACACTAGATATGATGTTAACCCTTTCATCTCGTTAACCCTCAATCAGGCGAATTATCTTATGACACCTTTTATTTTAAAGAAGATTATATTTTTAATGTTTCTCTCTGTGTTTCTAATGCCTTTATCTACGACTGAGTGAACTTTAACAAACTCTAAATCATCTGGTTTGGGGATGTGGAGTTCAAAGATTTTGTGCAGAAACATTAAAAATCAGGGACCCTCTTTCTCTTCTCCATGTGTTGTCCACTGTAAAATATCACAGTTTAATGAAAAGAAGCAGAAACCAGTGGTCCAAATCCCGTTTTTGTTTCTTTTGTTTTTTAAAATGGAAAAAAAAGAAAAGAAAAGTTGGAGGACGTGTAGACTGATAGAACATTTTCTTGCTTGAAAAACTCTAAAGAGCACTGGAGTCATAAATGAGGCATTTCATTACAAGCTTAAATGTGGTCTGAGGACCGACAGTTAATTTGTCACTGTTGTGTAAATAACTTTCTTCCTTTCCTCCAGAGTCTTGCCCATCAGGCTTTTACAGGCTGTCTCAGTTCTTAGAATCACCTCCGTGAGTTCAGGCCGCCTGTAAATTATTGAAGGTAACTCCATAAGCTGCCTCTTCAGCTGTGTGGAGGACGACTGAGTATTCTGTGCAAAGGAGAATTTTGTAACACATTCCTTCTCTTCTGTGGCCACTCGCTGTTTACATGAATACATTAAAACTTGAATAAATTAATTAATGTTCTACTTTCATGCCTGGTTATTTATATGAGTCATTCCTCCTGAGATTACTAATGCACAGACTCAGAGCAAACATACCAGCATGTGAACATCATCAGAAGCTCTTCACGGAAGAACAAACACACAAGCGGACGTAAGATGTGCCTCCATCAGTGTCAAACCCTTAATTTATATCCATTTTAAATGCAACTGACTATAACTCATAATCCTTTAAAAGGGAGATTGATTAATACTTTTAAATCACACAAGATAAGCTAAATTCTACTGAAATAGCTTGCAGATTAGCTTTTCATTGTCTTCTGTTATTTAGAGGGAAGGAGGCTCCAGTCCAAATATCTCACATGATGTACCAGTCAAAAGTTTGGACACACCTGAGGAGCTTGGATGTTCCTCTGGGACAATTTGAAAACTGTGAGGCACACAATGAATCTCTCTGACTATCACACCAGTGAACACAAAGTCTGGGTGTTAAATTCTTCATAAATGTGAAGGTTTTTTTGAAAATATTGATTGATACTGATACTGATCAGTCTTTAAAGGGGCATTTATGGTTTAGTTCTGCTCTCACTGGACTATCACTGATTTATTTTTTAAAAATTCATATATTTATAGGAAAGTAAGCGAGGACTAAAATACACTGATTTGGTAGAAGGCACAATTTCCTGGTTCCTGGTGTAGAAAGCTCAGCTTATTGGAGGTCACTGAAGACGTCAGCAGATGTTTCCTGGCTGTGACTTTATTGTTATCACAAACTATTAAGAGTAGATCATGAAAAATGATAAACATGACGAGCACATCCACACTTATGACTGTCTTCTAATCTTCCCTTTTAACTTAAACGGGCCAATAAACTTGTTTACTTTGATTATAATGTCTGAATACAATTGAATGAATATTACATTCATGCTTGAGTTTGTAAGCTGTGCTATAATGCAGCTCAAACATGAAATTTTGAAAATCTGTCTCATAATCTGAAGATTTCAGGAGACGGTCTGAATAGTTTGCATAGACGATCAACTGAGTTGGATATTATTTTAGTTAGTCAAACATAACAAATATAAACTACATATTTGAATAAATGAATAAGTTCCTTCCGTCTTTTTAAACTGTAGTGACACTTTCTCATTTACTGTTAACTAGAGACTGACCCAGCATGGTCAATTATGACTCCGCGCATATTTATGGTTCCCTGTTCTGCAGTGAACCATGGTGATCAGATTTCCTGCTGTAGAGACCTCAGATCTGAGTCTTTTTGCACAAACTCTTTGAAATTTTCCACATTTCCAAACCAGATTTTTGAAACTGAAGCAGCCAAATAACAAAGGATAAAAAGCACCCTGAGTATGAGGACTTTAGTGCAATCACATTATTCAGTTTATCTCAAGTTTGGTGCTCAAATCAGACCAGCATACTGTCTATCTATAATTCACTCAAACATCGAGTTAAAAAAAACTGTTTAAAAATGTTTAAAATGAAAAATTATATGATTTTGTTCACATTTTTATACCCAAATTCAAGCCAGCACAATAGACTCCTCGGAGAAGTCAGAAATTATCTGAGCATAGGATTTAACCACTAAAACTAATTTTTCTGATCAGGAATGCAAGCAAATAACTGGAATTTGGCATCCTTACAAATGTTTTATTAGGTGTTGTAAAAGAACACATTTTAAAATTAATGAAGAAAAAAAATATTTTTAGTGTTACAATATTATTATTAAACAGCCTGCGTATACTGGTGGATTACTTATTAGAAAAACATAAAAATGATTTTGGTAACTACCAATACTGTTCATTTATGCCAGCTGTGGCATAAACCTTACCCAGGCTGGTGGTTTAATGAACATTGTTAAGCACCGAACTGCAAGTTTTTATGTCTTTATTTCAAAGACAAACATTTGCATGCTTTTTAAAACCGCTTAATTAATTAATAACATTAAAACATCTATAATGTCTGCCACAGATAAGCATATATAGGTATGAGAAACAAATACAGGCCATTCAGGTTTCAAAGGATGACATTTAAAATACATTGTTTTGGAAAATTACACCAAAATGTTTTGAAGTGAGACCTGTCTGATTAGAAACCAGATTTGCAATAAAATGTATTATTTAGGAAGTATAATTTGTTATTTTTTATTTGGGATTTTTATTTCATTTTGACTTTTTATTTTTAAATTCAGTTTGGTTTCAGTTATTTTCCAGAGTGCTTATTTATTTATTTACTTATATTGCTTCAATTTAGTTTTTAATTGCTTGAAAATCTTTTGTTTTAGTCTTTCTAATTATGATTGTATGAAGCAATGACTGTTTTCTACAGTCATTGGTATGAAGGGATTAGAGAGGCATGCCCTTTTGAAAGCAGCTGACTGACAGTCTCAAAAACATTACCCTCAATACCAAGTGTAATAAAACTGTGATAAAACGAATAAATGCTAAATCATAAGGATATCTATATTATTATTTTATTTTTAGTGCGTTTGAAATTTATCTATCTATACATATATATAGATATTGTATTTAGTTTTAGCAGTTTAGTTTTACTTAACTATCATAACCTTAGTAACCACTGATTTTCCTTTTAATGATAAAGCGCTGCCAGGTTTCCCTGGTAGACCTGATGATGGAGATGGAGTTTCCAGTACGCCTGCGGTTCCGGGTCCAGGTGGTTCCGATGTTGCGTCCCGCCTGCGGTGCTGGGTCCCGCCGGCGGAGGGCACACCGCTCCGGCCGCGTGTCCTGTGCGAGGCGGAAGGAGCGGCGCGCAGTGCGGCAGCAGCGTCTGGAGGCTCGGCGTGTGCGCGCTGGTTGAACGCGGAGGGAGCAGTAGGTGATGCGCAGCCACGGAGCCGGAAAGCAGACTGTTCATCAGCGAGAACCTTCTTGTGTGTGTGGAGCTGAGCAGCCCGCGGTGAGCAGGTAATAATCCGAGCTCTGTGCTCGTTAAAGGCGGCGCAAAGAGACTCTCAGTGGCTTCATTCACTCTGCGTTAGCCAACCAGTCAGCCAGCTAGCCTCCGCGCTAATGAAGCTAATGCGGCTAGCGGCGTATAGCAGCATTTACACGCTTTCTTTATTTCTGCCGGTGAGTTAAAGCACAGATTAGTGTCCACACAGGGAAGACTCAGTTAAACACCAAAGCAGCCCGTAAAAAAAGAGACCGCCTGAGACTAACTCGACATTAAGCCTCACCTATCGCGGCCAGGTGAGCCTCCCTTTCGTATCACTTCCTGAATTCTTGAGTACTGGAGATGGGTGATTTACATAGCAGGTGACTTAGTTGCACAATGCTTTTGAATGTATGACAGTACAACACCCAGAAACCCTTCAGGTTTTACCGAGAGTCACTCGGATGTGCGTGAATGGGAGCAGACTGTAGGTAGGAAGGACAGCAGGTAGATGGATTCCTCCAACTCCTCAGGTGATGCTTTTCCAGGGTGTAGAGTGGACTGTGGTCACGGTAGGTTCCTGCTGGAGTGCTGACGTTAAACACTGGTCTTTATGAGTCTCTCACTCCAGCCTGTGGTCTGTTCTTCTGCTGTCAGGTGTTTGGGTCGGACAGAACTGCACCTTACCGGGTCAGCACCTGCGCTGTCAGCTGGTAAATGTGACAGACCGCATCAACACATCCAGCCTCACTATGGCTCAAGACAGGGGCAAATATGACTTCTACATTGGCTTGGCGCTGGCCGTCAGCTCCAGCATCTTCATCGGAGGCAGTTTTATCCTGAAGAAGAAAGGACTTCTGAGGTTGGCGAGGAAGGGGTCCACACGGGCAGGTAGGGGTGCTTTTTTCTGAGCATCGATGCAGGTTACCCCAAACCTTGAGGGGACCCACACTTCAGTCTTCTTTTTCTGTTTGTTTGCTTGTCTGTTCCCCCCTCACAGGCACTCCCTGTGAGGGGTGTTTCCACACATGCTTATCCATTGTGACATTTCAGGCTTGTCAGGTTCTCCTCACCTGTGCAGGGTGTGTTTAAGTGTGTGTCTGCATGTTGTTTGTGTGCATGAGTCATGAACACTCTTAAATCCTAGCAATCATTAACTCCAGCGCTCTGCTCGACCTTCAGTTCACGTCCATCGCCTGACCTGCAGTCAAAGCGAGGAGTTGCATAATTCAGGTTTTTCTTACATGCAAGTGACATTGAAATGAGGAATCACGTGGAAATGAAAACATTTCTTTTGCTTTTCAGGGCAGGGAGGTCATGCGTATCTGAAAGAGTGGCTGTGGTGGGCAGGTTTACTATCAAGTAAGTGATAACGCTGTGGCTCAAAATGAAATGAGATCATTCAGATGCAGGTGTAGCAGACATTCTCCAGAGTTGGTGCATAACATATTTGCATATGTTGAGGTCACATGTGGTTTCAGGAGCTGGTATTTGTCTTTGTGGATGCACCACCTGGGCTCATGCTGATTGCTGATGCTGTTTGAAGGAGACCTGCTGCTGTTGTTATTTTGACACATTCAGGACTTCTTTTGCGTCTCCTTCACTTTTGTTATCGTTACAGAAAAGCTCAGAATTGGTCTTTGGCAGATTGAGCTGAAGAAAACCTGCCCAGATTTATTCTTTCTTACTTATTTAATTCCATTCTCTTGAATTACAATTCAAATTCAAGGAAGAACACAGTTTTTTTTTAATATTAGATATTTAAGTTCTCCGAGGACTGATTAACCATGTTAAGTAATCACGATCTCAGTCTTACACTTGATTTTAAAGCAAACCTTGTTTTTTTTCGCTCTCTTGTCATCCTTTACCAGTGGTGGATGTTCATATTAAACATGTCCAAAGTTTCTAATGATGAGCTCAGTGTATTTACAATAATCCTTCAAAGCTCAGACTGCTCCAAACACTCAGTTTATCACAGATTTGTTTCCTACTCTGGGATCAGAAAGTATCCTTAAAGGGGCTGAAACGGCTTATTTCAGGCAGTCGATGAAGTCTGACTACACAAGTGAGATAAATTAGGATTTTTTTGAACTGTGAATCATGCAGGGCTACTCTAGGAAAGTCCAAAAATAAAAACAAGGACCTGGGAATGAACGAAAGTGTTTGGTAATAACAAATGAGCTAAATGTAATCTCATTGTTGAATCAGATGGTATATTGGTGCATGTATTTCATTATTACAGATGTAATAATCCAGCTTCATCTCGCTAGCTTTAAGATATTTTGTCACTGTCCCATTGTCAAACCTTTCTTTCTCTAGTACCTCTGTTGCGAAATGCCCTAAACCTCAGATAGTATTACAGTGTTTGCATGTCTCTGTCACAGGACAGTTCTACTTTCCTTCATGTGTGGAAATAACTGTCTGTTAACCTTTTGCAGTGGGGGCTGGGGAAGCGGCCAACTTCGCCGCGTACGCCTTTGCTCCTGCAACGCTAGTCACACCGCTGGGAGCCCTGAGCGTGCTCGTCAGGTACTGATGAGTGCATGTGTCTCATCCACCTCAATGTTTTGATTGTGTAAGTGTGTGTGACCTGAAATGAATTTTTTTTTTTTTTTTTTTTTGTCGCAGCGCCGTGCTGTCGTCATACTTCCTGACGGAACGGTTAAACCTGCACGGGAAGCTTGGCTGTCTGCTCAGTATCCTGGGCTCCACCACCATGGTCATTCACGCGCCGAAGGAAGAGGAGATCAGCAGCCTTGAGGAGATGGCGGCCAAGCTGGTTGACCCAGGTACAGAAAAAAATTCTTCTCTGTAGATCGTGTCTACAGATATTTCCTCCAAATATTCATCTTTGCTTCACAAAACATGATCATGCCTTACATGCAAAAGGTCTCAGGTTCGATTCCTGAAGGCAGCACAAACCCAGCTTCAGGGGATCACAAGCCACTATACTCCCAACACCGGTCCTGGGCGCTAACAGAGATCTGCAGATTTTCACTGATCAATACAATGTACACAAAAAACCCCCCAAAAAAACCGCAAGTTGATCTTTCAGGAAACTTGTTATCCTATTTTGCATCGTTCTTCTGTTTCACTGAGGAAACCGGCTCCAGGCAATCAGGTGGAAGAAATGTTCAGTTTCTTTGTTTACCAGCAGCAGGTTTCAGTGAACCACACCCTCTGAACAACTAAAGCGTGTATTTTCACTTTTGTGAAAGCGCATTCAGCAGATGCTACAGTGGGGCAAAAAAGTATTTAGTCAGCCACCGATTGTGCAAGTTCCCCCACCTAAAATGATGACAGAGGTCAGTAATTTGCACCAGAGGTACACTTCAACTGTGAGAGACAGAATGTGAAAAAAAAATCCATGAATCCACATGGTAGGATTTGTAAAGAATTTATTCGTAAATCAGGGTGGAAAATAAGTATTTGGTCAATAACAAAAATACAACTCAATACTTTGTAACATAACCTTTGTTGGCAATAACAGAGGTCAAACGTTTACTATAGGTCTTTACCAGGTTTGCACACACAGTAGCTGGTATTTTGGCCCATTCCTCCATGCAGATCTTCTCGAGAGCAGTGATGTTTTGGGGCTGTCGCCGAGCAACACGGACTTTCAACTCCCGCCACAGATTTTCTATGGGGTTGAGGTCTGGAGACTGGCTAGGCCACTCCAGGACTTTCAAATGCTTCTTACGGAGCCACTCCTTTGTTGCCCGGGCGGTGTGTTTTGGATCATTGTCATGTTGGAAGACCCAGCCTCGTTTCATCTTCAAAGTTCTCACTGATGGAAGGAGGTTTTGGCTCAAAATCTCACGATACATGGCCCCATTCATTCTGTCCTTAACACGGATCAGTCGTCCTGTCCCCTTGGCAGAAAAACAGCCCCATAGCATGATGTTTCCACCCCCATGCTTCACAGTAGGTATGGTGTTCTTGGGATGCAACTCAGTATTCTTCTTCCTCCAAACACGACGAGTTGAGTTTATACCAAAAAGTTCTACTTTGGTTTCATCTGACCACATGACATTCTCCCAATCCTCTGCTGTATCATCCATGTGCTCTCTGGCAAACTTCAGACGGGCCTGGACATGCACTGGCTTCAGCAGCGGAACACGTCTGGCACTGCGGGATTTGATTCCCTGCCGTTGTAGTGTGTTACTGATGGTGACCTTTGTTACTTTGGTCCCAGCTCTCTGCAGGTCATTCACCAGGTCCCCCCGTGTGGTTCTGGGATCTTTGCTCACCGTTCTCATGATCATTTTGACCCCACGGGATGAGATCTTGCGTGGAGCCCCAGATCGAGGGAGATTATCAGTGGTCTTGTATGTCTTCCATTTTCTGATGATTGCTCCCACAGTTGATTTTTTCACACCAAGCTGCTTGCCTATTGTAGATTCACTCTTCCCAGTCTGGTGCAGGTCTACAATACTTTTCCTGGTGTCCTTCGAAAGCTCTTTGGTCTTGGCCATGGCGGAGTTTGGAGTCTGACTGTTTGAGGCTGTGGACAGGTGTCTTTTATACAGATGATGAGTTCAAACAGGTGCCATTCATACAGGTAACGAGTGGGGGACAGAAAAGCTTCTTACAGAAGACGTTACAGGTCTGTGAGAGCCAGAGATTTTCCTTGTTTGAGGTGACCAAATACTTATTTTCCACCCTAATTTACGAATAAATTCTTTACAAATCCTACCATGTGGATTCATGGATTTTTTTTTCACATTCTGTCTCTCACAGTTGAAGTGTACCTCTGGTGCAAATTACTGACCTCTGTCATCATTTTAAGTGGGGGAACTTGCACAATCGGTGGCTGACTAAATACTTTTTTGCCCCCACTGTATATTTGGAATATTTTCATTTCCATCAGACAGGAAATGGAAGCTGGAATTTACCTGCGATAACTCAGGAATTGTTTGAGTCACTTTCTGTTGTTGTAACACAAAGTTCACATCTGAAGCAAAAAAGTATTTAGTATCCACTGTTAGTTTCATTGTTAGCATTACTCTTTCTGATTATTTGAATGTGGAGAATATTTGGTCAGGAGCAAGATCCAATCTTTATAATACAAATCTAACACTTCCTGACTTAAGAGTCATGTGAGAATAACAGGTCATGGAAAAACTTAAATAACTGAAACAATAATGTAATCTCTTTATTTCAGCTGGTTAAGATGTTTCTTTCTGCGAGTACTTTTAGTTATCTAACTACTCTCATATGAACAAATGTGTTAATATGCAAAATATGAGGGAAATAAATCTGTTTCTATGGTTTTGAAAAGCTAAACTTGTGTCATTCTGCTTCAGTTGATTTGTTTTAGCTCAAAGACTATGTGAAAAAAACCTCACAAAACAGACTCCTGCTCTCTGGAAGTAAAAAAAAAAAAAGATTTGTGTGTCACACGTTAAAGTTGGAAGGGCTACATTAATTTTAACTGTTAAAAGTTTTTGTATGTTCTCCCTGTGTGTGCATGGGTTCTCTCTGGGTACTCGGTGGGGTTGGGTTAATGATTCTAAATTGCCCATATGTGTGAATGTGAGTGTAAATTGTTGTCTCTCCATTAGTCCAGTGACAGAGTGGCAACCTGGCCTAGGTGTACACATTATGGCAGCTGGGATCAGCCCCCTGCAACCCGGAATTAGAAAAGGTTGGATTTATTGAAGTGAAGGATGCTGAGAATAGTGATGGTTTGCAGATGCTTATTTTCTTGAAATGCTCCCCGTCCCACCTCTTCTCCTTTTCTTTCTCAGGGTTCCTTGTCTTTGCCACCCTCGTCATCATCGTTGCACTCATCTTCATATTTGTTGTGGGTCCCCGCCACGGCCAGACCAACATCCTAGTCTACATCACCATCTGCTCGGTAATCGGAGCACTCTCTGTGTCCTGTGTGAAAGGACTGGGCATCGCCATCAAGGAAGCGATCGCCGGGACGAGCGTGGTGAAAAACCCGCTGGCGTGGATCCTGCTCCTGGGTCTAGTGGGCTGTGTGAGCACGCAGATCAACTACCTGAACAAAGCTCTGGACATTTTCAACACCTCCCTGGTAACGCCAATCTACTACGTGTTCTTCACCACGTCCGTGCTCACCTGCTCTGCCATCCTCTTCAAAGAGTGGGAGCACATGGGAGCGGACGATGTCATCGGTACACTCAGTGGCTTCCTCACAATCATCGTGGGCATCTTCCTGCTCCACGCCTTTAAAGACGTTAGCGTGAGCCTGGCCACGCTCGCGGTGTCCATGCGGAAGGAAGAACGGGCGTTTCCCACAGCCAACGGCATAGCATCTCACACCGCCTACGAACTGCTGGACGAGAAGTCGGTCGGCGACATGGAGGAGCGAGACACGGCTTCGCATTTCGATAGCGTCTCCAGAAGGAATGGCACGATGACGTCCTTGCTGGATCACTAAGGACCTCCCTATTCCAGAAGACTCGGCCGCGGCTCTGATGTAGACGTGGAGCGCGAGAATGAGACAATCAGCGATCCGGGGCGTGAACAGACCAGTGGATTGTAGTTAATGTTTTAATTTGCCTTACTTTTCTTGGAATATGGCTCATATTCATCTCTAGTTAAACTTAATTTCATTCCTGTGTAGCGCTGTAAATAAGTTTTATAAAAAGGTTTTATGGACATGCACCTTCATGCACTGACTTCCTTTCTATGAATCAGATGAAGTTTTAATATATATATATATAAATATATACTTTATGAAGTCCTGCTGACAATGACTACATTTGATAGGACGTTCTATGATTTGAGTTGTCGTCATACTTGAAGGTAACGGCAGTTAATGTTGGGAGTTCTGAACTTTTTCTTTGCAGTTTTTACATTAAAAGCTTGACACAAACCAACATTTGTTACATATTTATTGAATTAAATGATTAAAACATAAGGCACAGTGAATAAATGCTGAACATGAGCATGAGCTCTGTTACTTCAGTTCCACTTAAAATGTTTAGCATGCAAGTTGAACAGTGTAGAAAATATAAATTTACCATCACCCACACTTAAAATAGATTAATGCTCACCCTCAAACACCCGCCACCGCAAACCCTTAAATACGTCAGATAAAAACTACTTCCTCTCTCTGATCTACTTCTGTCTGCAAGTATAAAACAAAGAATATCCAAAAAGGGGAAATATTCTTTTCTGATAAGGCACAAATGAATACAAAAAAGAAAAAGTGGCCCAACTTCTGACACATGATGGTCCTCAGACCTAAAGGGCGATATTCGTGGTGATGCGGACAGTGTTTGAAACTTCACGCTGGTCCACAGTGTCGACGGCCGCCTCAGCTGCTGGCGAGCGACTGGTGTATCGGAGGCTGGAAGCATCGGACGTGCTCGACCGGCATGTTCTCGCCGTCGCCAGACTTCATGTACTTGTTCAGGATGGCGAAGATCTCGTTGTTGAGGACTTGGAATCTACGGATTCTGTCCACCATCTTCTTTAGAGGCTGAAAGGGAGACAAACACGGGAATGAGCTCAGAACAGGTCCCACTTAATCACGTTGCTGCTTTTATGTCAGATCCTATTTCACTGGTGAACGTTTATTTTAAACGTGGCCACAGTTTCTAATAGCACATAAAGCCAACAGCTCAGACTGTGCTAAACGCTCAGTGTTACACAGTTTTTCCAACTCTCCATTCTGAGGTCACAGAGAGAGCAGGGTGTATTTATAGTAGGTCAGCCCTGAAGTTGACAACACAATAATTCCCAAAATTATTTTTCTTAACCCCCCCTATGGGCTTTTGGATCATCACAGGAAATAACAGTTTGTGATACGTTTTAGCCAGATAACTTTTCTCTGCAGTTTCTCAAGAGCATTTGCATCAGTTGCATAAAACCCCCCCCCAAAAAACTGAACTTCAGACATAAACATTGCAGTCGTGGTGGCCATCAATGCCTCTGAGCTTGTGCATTTGGTGGGTTGGAGTTTGCCTGACATCTTCTGCAGTCTCATTTAGTGGCTTGTTGTAGAACATGAGGATGTTCTGAATGAGCAACTTCAGGAAAAAATGCCAACTCTTTCTTGGGCTTTAGGATTTATTTCTGTGGAACTACAGAAAAGCCCCGCTGACCTGCTGTTTAAACCTTCTGTTTATCTGGGACAGCCAATTATAAAAAGCTCCCATAAAGGGGGAGGAGCTATAAGAGCCTGTTTGATATTTGGTGTTTCCAAATGGCAGTGGAAGAACAGGAAATTGTATGCAATTGTGTATAAAACAGCTTATTATGAACTTTAACAGTGTTTCAGTTAAATCTGAGGATCCAGCTGGGAGATGTGAGCTGAGCACCAAGAAAACGGGACAGTTAGCCAGGCTCATTTCAAGGTTAAATCCAGCTCCCGGCAGTTCTAAAACAAACTCATCTGCTTAATCCACACAAACGCTGAAGAGTGTAACATCGCGGAGGGTTACCTGCAGCGACTATCTGACGACTTCAGAACCTCATTCTGTGTTTTCATGTGCAGCCATGCTGATTAGCTTCCCCCCTCCCCCCCATGTACTCAGTGAAACCTGTGGGTTTGGTTCTCAGTGACCTACTTATCTGCCCATGAATGCATCACAATGTTGCTGGGTCAGTGTTGCCAACGCACAATACTCAACAAAGAGTTCATCAACAATCACGGAAAACAAAACGCAACAAAAATTCCTGAGAGGCAGGTAAGCTCCTAGCAAACAGAACCATCACGCCCATTTCTCTTTCATCGTCCTACACTTCACTCCCAACTGATTCAAAACTCTTTCATAGTCCGTGAGGGGAAAAAAACCCCCCCAAAAAAACAAAAAACAGTCCATTTATGATTCAGTGGGTCACGCTGAAGCCTTTTGTGCTCTTTGCTACATTCTGAGGGGATACACTCAGTAACAGATTTCAACATAAATTATTCAAGTATTTTTTTTTGACAGAAATCCGAGTTCTGATTTCAACTTCCCTGCGCTGCCTCCGCAAGGACCAGAGTGCTGCAAAACTGAAGAAAATGAACACCTGAAGCCGCTCTTGTGATCGCCGACACGCTTGTGCTCATGAAGCAGAAGGACGGACGTCTGCAGCTGCACGCTGAGCTGTATTTAGCTTTCTGTTAGCAGTGAAATTAATAATTCATAATTTTGGACTCAAAGTAGAAACACAGCATTAGAAAACAAAAACAACATTTCAGTGTGGTTTGCTCTCAGTAATGTACGAAGTTATTTTAACTGTTGCAGTCTCACACCTGAGACGGATCTTGTTTAGTGACTTTAAACGCTGCGACGTTATTGGCTGCTCCACGACAAAAATTAGAGGTGGAGGATCTGAAACTCATCAAGCTCATCTTTCATGCTTCATTACCAGTTCTTACTGTGGTTTTTTACAAAGTATTTATAGAAAAGTATCACTTATTTACAGAGGTTAAAAAAGGAATATAGCTTTTTAAATCTGAGTCTCATATGATCTGGTGTGACTGAAGCCAGATTACATCATTATCAACACCCTAAAGGCTACAAAACGACAACAAACAGAAGTCATGTGAACCTAAACTCACCTTGATAAATTCCATACGGGTCATAATCTTTATTAACTTTGCACGTCACGTCACGCAGGGCGCCATCAGCAGATTTTATTATCTAATGTTCAGAGTTCAGCCGTGCGTTTAACAGCCTGTTGTTGAGGTTTCAAATCATATCAGCAGGTTATGGCATGAAGCAGAAAAGTCAATCACATTTTCTTGATGTGTGTCAAAAATAATAATTAAAAATGAATAAAAAAATCTAACTGAATTGAAGACATACGCAGGTCTTTACTTCTATTCTTGGTACATTTGCTATTTGAGATGGTGTGCTCATTATTTTGGATGCAGTAACTGGTGGAGATGCTCGGGGACGTCAGGTGAGGGATGATGCGTTAAATCTGCACCTTATGTATGCTGTATTTAACAGCCGTGCTCATGTCTTTCAAACTCACCACGCTCTTGATGATCTCATCCTTCCCGTCGTGCTTCTGCACCTTGAGGAGGTGGTAGCTGAAGTCAAGGATGTCAAAGCGTCTCTGCTGTCCCAGCAGGGCGATGATCATGCAGCCTGCCCAGTGGAGGCCGTCTCCAAAGCACTGCCTGGAGGACAGGAAGAGGGTGTGTCAGTAAATATTAGGTGAGAGGAAGCGTGTGCGTGTTTGTGTTCGGCCACACTCACTCCACTGTGAACTCGTGGGCTCCCACAGGAATGCAGTACACAAACTGCATGGCGCTCCAGAGGCGGTGGAACTCCACACACTCGTCCACGTGCATCACGCCGTTGCTGGGCAACGGCCCACGCCACACAGGGTCCTCCAGGAAGCCTCGCACACGTGTGAGGATAACCTCAAACATGGACAGACCGCAACACAGGCGCTCTTTGGTCAATAGGTCGCCCTCACGAGCGATGGCTATTTGCTGAAAGAGAAGTAAAAGCATTCAAAAGATCGTCTACCGGTCAGCATCCTCCATAAGTGTCACATGACACAGGAGCAACTGTAGCTTATCTCTGTCTTAATGGTGTGTTCAGAGTGAAACAAAATAAGTTGGTTTATTGCCTGATGTCATCCTCAGGATAAAGTCCACACGATGAAACACATTTATATGGCAGCAAATTTGTTCATGAAGTCCTCCTGGAGAATTTATTTAAGTTCTGAAGATATTTTAACTCCAGCTCTCAGCTGTACTGAGAAGAAAGGAGTTTCCTCATTGGTTTTTAGAGACAAACATCAGCTGGTTTTGAATTGGCCCTGAAACACTCCAGCATTTGTATTTACATAACTAACCCGAGGGAAAGTGAACACACCATCCGACGGCTCTTACCTGTGGTGTGCCGAGGCGTTCTATCAGGGGAACCATATGCAGCGCCGTGTATTTGGCCTCCAAGCGCTTCATCTTGGCGTCGAGGCGCTCCCCCTCTACACAGACAGACAAAGAAATGCATGAAGTTTAAGTTGAGGATTGTCAACCAGTGGAAATTTGTTCTTAAGAAAGAGGTTTAAAAAAATAAAAGCTTACAAGAAATAGAAAATTCAGACTAAGAAAGGAAAAAAGTGAAAATGTGCCAAAACGCAGTCCGACAGAGTTGTTACTTGTATAACAAAAAAAAAAAAAATTAAATAAAACAAAAACTTCTCACAATCAGCTGTTTTGTTTCTACATTAACTTTAGTAAATTTAATGAAGCCTGCCAGAATTTGACCTTCATATTAAGATTTTTCCAGATTATCAGATCCTGGAAATACACAGGGTGTGTAACGGAGCTTTATGACACCAGCAAGAAAGGAAAAAGAAAAAGAAAAAGTGTGATCAACATCAAGTGGAAAGTATATGCACAAACCGCACCTTCGTGCATGGGCTTACTCATACTGAACATTTACAATAAAACATTAATGGAAAAATGTTATCACACAGATGGAATCACAGTTAGAAGATGAGCTTTTTATGAGCAACCACCGATGATTCATCAGAAACGGATCAAACATCCAGGGTACCCTGTGGCCGTTTATGCTCCTCTACGTCACAGACGTTAAACTGCTACAGCTTATTCAAACTACGATTTACAGAGAAAAACAAAATCGCGCCGAGCAAAAATCGGATTTTGTCATCGATTTTGACACGAGTTGGGTATAAAATTTTTTTGGTTGCAGTTCATGTAAACAGACAGTAAATGTGTTTTTCAGCTCTTAAAATTTCTTCTGGATATTTCTGAATTATGAGGGTTTAAAAAGATGTTGGAAAAAGAAAATTAAAAATGTGCCAAATTTCTATTAAGCCCCAATGCAAGTCTGGAAATATTCAGAGAATGAAGGTAAAATTTTGCTTGCCTGGAATAAGCTAAAGTTATTGTAAACATCAAAAGAAAAAAAAATTGAGATGAGAGGCACAGATCGAGTTTGTTATTAATAGAAAATCAAACGCACACATGATGGCTACAGCATCCAGTTTGGGTTTATAAAATTTTAAATTTATGGGATTTTAATATTTAAAAGCAATCATAAAAATGAGCAATATTTTCAGCCAGAACAAGATGCAACCTCTACAATGTTCTGCAACCCATGAAAACATATCAGTAAACCACAGTATGGCACGCTGGTGTCTCTGACACACACACACACGCACGCACACCTGCTGCAGATAATGCTGCGCTGGAATAACTGACTCTCTGTAATCCCGGCTGAAAACCGTACCCAACAAAAGCACTCTTGACTCCCGCTGAACTAATGTTTGCTAGAACACAGCACCCAGCTGTTTTCAAAATTGTTAAGCTTTTCCTAAAACTTTAATGATGGAAAACAACTGAGTGCTGCATCTCAGCATCTCACCCTTGAGCGAGGGGAAAAACCGAGGAGGAAATTTACATGGAAAGGTTTCGTTTTTTCAGCTGGTTAATGAGTCTCATTGTTAGTCAACTTTGGAACCAAAAGATGAGATCATGAATACACGCAGATGAAATGAGCCTCTATTTAAACAAACTTGTCTTTGGTTAGAGAAAAAAAAAAGGTGGGGGTTCATACAAATAAAATAAGCCTTATCCAGAACAAGCTCAGTGCAGCTGCTCCTTCATGTCAAAGCAGACAGACATCGAGAGGATTCTGGTATCTGATCAGGATCCTTCCATCCAAAGGTAGAAAACCCAAAAGGAAGCACAAGGGATCATAAATCTCATGTGGCCAGGAAACACTTCAAGTTCCTCCAGGACGATTTGAAAAATGAGGCAAATCTGGATAAATCCTGCTGCCAGAATGATCTGAGCGGAGCGATAACAGCAGAGCATGGACGGACAGACGGATAAAAGGGTCAATGTGATGAAGTCCTTGTGACCCTTTTTAGATTACTTAAGCAGGATGCAATGAGCTTAAGGTCGCATGAAGGGAAATTAAAGAGTTTTGTGATTTCGGGTTATGGTTAAATCGCTGGGAGTCATTCTGGCACCACCAGAATCCGCCTTTTATTCAACAGCGAGCAGAGATTTCAGACGCTTGAATCATTGTTTTGGACCCAGAGCAGATGGAGCACGGAGACAGTTTATTGATTACACTGTATGAACTGCGCAGAGCAAAGAGCACAAAGTTATCAATAGGAACCCATCTGCCTGTTGACTTTGCCTAGAAATTTGTCCATAAAGTTATAAACAAGTCCAACCCTCACCAGGAACAACTGTGACTTGTGCAGGGACTACAAAATATTACACATTCTTACTTTGTTTATTAAATTTAGGCCGCTTATTCAAGTGGACGTTTTAGAGATCTGGGATGTTAATACATGTGTCTGAACTGGAAAGGTTTTTGGGTCCCTCCTGCTGTTTTGACTGTGCAAATAAAATTGACTTTTCCTCTCTGTATTTACCTTTGACATGGACTCTGGGAAGAATGTTCTGGAAAGGTGCAGCATGCAGCAAATCACAAACTTCTTCCTGTGACTGGAGGGAAAACAGCAAAACTTTAGAATAGGAGGCGACTGCATGAGGGAAAAAAAAAAATAATGAAAACATCTGCGGAGCATCTTAAAGTCGCCAGAGGCTCCCGATGACCCCGCGACCCGTACCAGGCTCTGCTCACTCAGCATACAGAACAGGATGGCGTTGCCCACCTCCCTCAGGTTCTGGAAACACACAGTCTTGAGCTCAGCGTACTCAACGATGTCCTTCAGCTGGTGGTGGAAGAACTCCAGGATACCTGAATGGAATTACACTGCAGTTATCACATATCTGCTACTGATAACAACACTCAAAAGTAGATTACAGCAGGTATGCAGCGCTCCCTGATAAGCACATGAAGGGCAGGTTTTGTGGGCTCATGTTTGTTCTGTTGCTGCTCCCTCAGTGGAGTATAGAAAGTCAAGATAAAGGTCTCTGTACTGAAACGTGTCCACCGCAACTCTTTGATTACTTTTTTGTGCCTCCTCTTCCTGGTGAACGTCCACTGATACTTCCTTTCCCATTAAGGAAAACCTTTACGCCAATCAGTGTTTTGCCTACATGTCAGACTAGGTGCTTCTGGATCATTGCTGGATACACGTAGATGTGACGCAAATCTTTTGACTGAACAAGGTCATCTAACAAAAGGAAATGTGACCAGTTTTTCTCCTCACATTTGAAAGCTTTGATTAAAATGTTAAATACGACTCATTTCCAGCAGTTTGCTTCATTTGAATGAAGCGTTCGCTCCGGACTCACAGCTTCAGATTTTACTCCGACTTGTTCTGCAGATTCAGTCTGCGCGGCTAAGAACCTGACACGACTGACAGAGCAAATCCACTGTGCTCAGAGGTTTTGCCTTTTCTACCAGTTAAAATGAAAGTCAATAAAATGCAGTTTGAACGCTAACACACAAAACAAGCAAAATCCAGCACTGACACCAAAAAGCACCAGATGTCTCTACGCAGTGGCTTATATTCACATGTATGGGTGTTCTTTGACTCGTATCAAATATCACTGTTATCTTTTCCTACATGTGCAGTATCTGCTGAGTTTTTTTTACTGCTTGTATCAGACCCAGACATTGTGTATCAGCTGGCTACACTTTGACATACCCGGGGAACCGTACTCGTAGCGTGGAAGTCTGCAAATCTTGGGCATCACCTCCATCAGGGTCTTCACATACTGCATTATGGTGCCCTGAAGCTGTAGAAACAGAGAGCTTAACTCCACTTAAAGGGAAGTGAACTCACAAAGAATGAAGCACAGTAGCATCATGAAATCATAGCTCCTGCACATCACTACACACTCACCAGGCTTTTGACAACCTTCAGCAGCTCCTCCATCACCACAGCGATGCCCTGGTAGCCCAGCAGTCTGCACATCACCTTAATGTGTGGGGGGCCCAGAAAGTTTCTATAGGAGCCAAAAGTGCTGCTATAGGCCAGGTTCAGGGTCTACATGCAGAGAAAGACATCAAAAGACATCAAAAAGGTTAGTATGAATATTGCACACCACCATGCAGGGACTTTGTTTTGAGATATTTAAGGGGTGGGATGGTGAAGCTCTGAGAAAGCAGTCCACCAACTACTCTTTCAGAGTCTGCTTCTCTTTAAGGGAGTTCTTTGCCCCCACAGTCCCCAAGTGCTACGTTATAAAGCAGCTTAATTAAAAAGAAAAAGCCAAAACAAACCCAAAGAACAGCTGAGGCCAGAAAAGAAGGTCATAGTAGAGGAGAGGGTAAGTTTTCCTCTTGTGTCATCACAGTGTTAAACATTTGAGAGGATCACAATAATCAGACACACTAACCTGCTGTTGTGAGCTGATGCGTTGTAAATAAAAGTGAAAGGAATCAACGAATGCTTACATTAAATTCCATGGCACTTTTAAAGCGAGTAAAATGGGAACATTTTCCACATTAGGATTATCCTCTGGGGACCACGAACAGCAATACGACAATCTGGCCGCCAGTTGTTCAGAGCTTTTGCTGTGGAACAAACAGTTAGGCAGATGGTCTCGCCAACTGAAGCACATTTAAGCTCCAGTGTCAGATATACAAGATACTCTGACATAGACCAAAGTGCTGCCCGAAGGGGAAATAACGATCAATAACACTATGATGTCTCTGCATTAACTCGCTGGCATGGAAAACAAAATCAAAGCAACCAAATTTGCTAACATATAAAGATTGATTTGTCTGCACTGTGCACTTTTCCCTTACATACACCACAGATTTTTAGTCCTCCCTCTCTCCTGTCAGCAGTGAGGTGAAGCTCTAATCCAGCAGCAGCGGCGATGAGGACACACCGATCTCTGCATCAGTACTGAGGTTAGAAATCTCCACAGCAGCACGCAGCATCAGAGCGGCGACACAAGAAAAGATTTTTTTAAGTGAGTGACGAGCAGCAGCAGCATTACGGGATAATCTGAGCAAACACCAACATGTGCTGGCACAGGTCTCCCGGTAAGTTTCCGTTTTATGCTTTGAATTGATGACGGTGGTCGTACCTGTTACTTGTTACAGCCAATAGTTATAGAAACGTCAATAACAAGATGCTTTTTTATGACACCTCTGAAAAACCACAAGATTTCTTTACAGTTGTAAAAATGTGGCAAAAAGAAAACAAAATGAAACCTGTGAGATTAACTTTGTCTGAAAAGCACCAGTATTTAGGAGGGTTTAAAGCATCATTTTTCATCAGCATTTCTTTAAACTGAGCCTGCAGTGAGCACCAAACCCACCCTGCACTGGTTAAGGGCAAAGTGAAAACTTTTAATCATTTTTACATTTGGGTGTCATTTTATTCAATGCACGTAAAATATTATTCAATACTGAAGATTAAGTTTAGATTTTTAAAGCAAAATAAACTCTTGCAATAGTTAAATATGTCAGCAGGTGCTTTGGGTCAAAGTGTGATTTTATAAAATAAATTTCAGGATTTATTAAAATATTGAAATAAAAAGCTCGTAAACTGGACAGCTCAGAAAAATAAATTTCCATTATGCAATTTGCATCATCTGTGCATAATCTCAGCTCCCTCCCACCCATCTGTTCCAGATAACTCTTTGTACAATGCTTATTATCCTCCGACATTGCTTTGTTTCCCCCTCGTTATGCTTTATATAACATGGTGAGGATCGGCTGTGTGGTCATGACATTTTTCATTATGCTAAGCTCTGTGCATACTGCAAATGGGAGCAGGATTTAAAGTCAGGAAGTAATTAGAGCTTTTATTGAAACTATAAATTGGTGAGTTTTTGGATGCGTTTTTGCCCACTTACGTCAGAACGGTCCTAAGACTTAATGCTGCTTTTCCACCAACTATTTAGAACCACCTCCATTCACTTCTATCTGAAACGCAACAAAACACTGACATTAAAGACCTGAGACAAAATCTGGAACCGCCGACGACGGCGACCAATATCAGCATCAAAAGTACAATTGCATAGATGCTATAAGCATTAAATAAAGAACAGCCACTGATATCAGTGTTTACATTTTTAGTTGTTATAGATCAAAGTAAAGCAGATGTGTTATTCCCTTCTATAATCCTTAAAGGGACAACAGTGGCCGTGCAGTTTGAGCATGTGTTTAACTGCTAATTGTACATAAATAAAATGTGCATGGGTAGGTGTATGAGAGTCAGGCCTCCTAATTCATAAATTCTTAACTTGCATCACGTATGTGGTAATTCTCTGGTATTTGTCCGGCATATTATTGTTTTCATTTTTCTTTTTTAAATTTAGTGCACACGTTTTTTTGTTTTTAGCCTCAAACCTAGTTGCGACATAAATGGGGGCTCATCCGGGATCTTTGGGACTCTTCTGAGGGGACTGAACATCAGGTTTCTTTCTCCTATAAGGTGCGTCAAGCTGACTGTGTCTTCCTTGTGAGCGAATTCAAGCATTTCAGCTCTTTAGATGTGCTGCCTCCTCTAAAACATTTACTTACTTTGTTTACTTATTACTTAACGCTGTCTCGAGCCTCGGATGCCTGTTTTTGTGGAATAAATAATGGTTGCTACTTATGTTCTAAGGAGTAACTGGATTAAGAGCTTGAGAATCACTTCTCAAATCTGGTTAAAAGTGCTTTGCTTCTTAAAGGGAACAAAAGTGCTGATCGGTGGAAAAAAAGGAAATGGGTTAAAAAAAAAATATGGGTGGGAAGGAGCCAAAATTAAGAGTAAAATGTGAAAGCTTCTGTTGTGCAACATAACTAGGATGGTGACTTATTTAAATGTTATGAATCATGACCAAATGGCTCACTCTGAGCCAAGAGAAAGCTTATTATTGATGAAGTCTTCTTATATTAGCTCTTAGATGGGGAAAAAGCACAGAAATACCTCACCCTGTCATCTCAAATTAGTCCTTTCAGTGTCTCACTGTGTTCCCATCTTCCTTTTTTTCCAGCTCAGTTTTACATCGCAAGCATCAGACAGCTGCAGTAACTGAGGATGCACTTCATTCCTGCAGACTCCATCTTCTCACAATGGTGATTGCAATCTACAACATCTCCTCCACCTCAGCCAGGGTGAGCTGGCCATCCTCCCCCACCTGCATTGACACCTTCTACAGCGTCATGTACGACCCCAACTGGAACAGCCTGTTCATGGGCTACAAGCGCAAAAGCTTCATGTATGAGGATCGTATCCCTGTCAGTCAGACCAGCACACACCTGGCCAATCTCCTCCCTCAGACTGCCTACTTCTTGTGTGTGACGTGTCAGGCTGCCAATCCGGTGCGGGAACAATGCCAAGTGTTCAGCACTCTGAGCGACAGCAGCGAAGGTCACGACAGAGCCGGCTGGGAGCTGGCAATGGCCGTATGGCTCATCTGCTGCATCTTGCTCCTCGTCATCGCCAGCATCCTGTTGTGGAGCTGTCTTAACAACATCTGTATCCTCCCCGGCCAGGCCGCAGCCGGACACCCGGTGGTGACCAACTCAACCTGTCAAGGCATGTCCACATCTGGAGCCCTCTACACTCCGAGAAGCAGCAGCCAGGACAGCATCAAACTCTCCAACATCATGCAATCACCCCACCTCTCGGCGCAGCCTACGGGTCACATAATTACCCAAGACCATGAGTTGAGGACGCTGGCTAAGCTGTCCGGCAGCGAGCCAACATGAATCAACTGGATTAAGGTCATCACAGCATTGTTCAGATTCAATTGTCACCGAGTATTTTCATCCACTCACAAAATCCTATTTGTGTGTTTTTCCTCAGAGGAAACATTTTCAACCTATTACAGCAAGGTTTCAACACACACGCACACATGCACACCATTTTAAATAAAAAGATTTATGCTTTTAAGACCTTAAAAAAAATTACAAACCAAAAATTAAATATCATTAATATGGCACTCATCTTTCTTTTGGCACTGACAAAAATTTATCCATGTAGAAAAATAAAAAAATCTGTCATTTAACGCGTCCCCTGCGTGTTTATAGAACGGGCTCAGACAGAAACAAATGTTGTCTGTTTAATCAAAGCTTCACTATCCGCAAAAACATTAAAAATAAATAAAATTGCTTTACTCATAACTCTGTAGATCATTCTTTTATATTCATGTCATTTATTTATGTCCATAAATAAACCAAAAATATATTTTTTAAATGTATTTTTTAAACCTCTCCTACAGTGAAATTACAAAACCCTCTCAAGCCATATTTGTTCTCCCAAAGTAAAAACAACAACTACTTTTGGACATGTCTGGGAGTGATTTTGATTTATCCAAGTATTATTTACATTATTTTGATTGGATATCAAAGTATTCTGCAGTCCAATGAAAAAAGACAAAATCCTTGATGTGTGATTTATAAAGATGATATGAAAAGTGGATTTGAATTGTCTTGGGAACCCCCCCCCCCAAAAAAAAACATTAGTAGCCAAAGAGTGTTCAGTCAGCGTCTGTCATAGTCAGATCCGCCCCTCTCTCTTCACGTCTGGCTTCAAGAAGCGATGGTGAGAACGGTCACCTCGATGCTTCATAACAGGACTTCACCGACCAGTGAGTGACATCACAGCGGCCACGTCCATCTTTTATATACAGTTTCTGGTCTTATTTTTAGACACAGGAACACACAGACATCAACATCATGAGTGTGAGGACTGAAACAGTCTGACAGCATCATAGCTACACTATCAGGTTAGCGCCCCCAGCGTGTTGGTCCACATAACTACATGTTAAACAGAAGAACATGTGATTGACTCATGTGCTGCATGGAGTTTTCACATTTCATGACATTTAAGGCATTCATTTCCTCCGAGGGGACGTCTGAGCACGTGCACACACTTCCCAGAGTAATGCTTTCACCCTTGTATTCTGTGGATACAGTTTGACAGCGTATACTGAATATCTGAGAGTCCACCCCTGTAATATCAGGAGATAAAAGTGTGGGAGCTCTAACAGAAAAATGTCCTGACCTTTGAACCGTACAGGTACTGAGGCTGAGCGTTGGGTGGTTTATCCCTCTGGAACTCCTGAGAGAAGGGCAGGATGGTGCGCACAAACCTGAAGGCAGAGTTGGAAACATATCTCCATTAAAATAACATCGGGATTGAAAATACAAGACCCACACAATTAGTCCCTTTTCCCCCTAAACCTTTGAGAAGCACAATCTGATATTTTATCTAATAAAACTATAAAAATAAAATAAAATAAACAGCTGTGAACGTTTATAAGAAACTGCCTCTTAGTTTTAGCTCCAGCTACTGGCATTAATATATGAACATTTTGGTCTTTCTGTGACCTTCACCGTGATTTTATTCTGAAATGTCACCTGTTGGTAGACCCGTTGTAGCAATAGTTGGGTAAGAAGTCGTAGTTGAGCTCCCAGAAGACGTGCAGCGTTATCCTGCCATAAGGGGCCGACACGTTGTGGTTGGCTTCGCGAAACATGGCGTCAAAGCTATCCAGAGTCAAGAACTTGCTCAGGAGCTTGTGCGTCATGCGGTTGACCTCCAGAAGGCCTTCCAGCTCCTTTAAACAAGTCACACACCACCAATATGTATTTTTAACTAAGTCAAATGAAAAACCCCAGGACTCATCAGCTAAATTAAATTACAACTACATACCATGATGGAGGTTAGATCCTCACTCTCGAAGCGACCGATAGCCAACTCCATAGATTTATAAAGAGCAGCGGAAACCCTCTGAGTGATGAGTCTGTTGAGATCGATGGAGCGGCCTAGAAGCTGAGGTTCACAGCCAGTTAGTTAGAGACAACATGAAGGTGGGAATACAGCGAGGTGGAAAGCACGACAGCGTGCAGCTTATACCTGGACGTGGCGTTGCTTCAGCAGAGTCTCGTAGCGGTTAGAGGACGGCCAGGGAATGTTGGCTCCTTGGTTCTTGCAGTCAGATCTCAGCCGTTTGTCAAGCAGAAGACTGAAAGAGGATTCACATAAACACAGAGAAGTCAAGGTTTGTAAAAATCACACCTTTAGGCCTGCTCCTTATTTCCTGGCATGTATCTCTGGTTCATTTTAATCATGACCAGAGTTTCTAATGACGAGGTCAGTGTATGTACACAAACCTCTGTGAGCCATAAGCTCAGACTGCTCTAAATGCTCAGTGAGGGGCAGCCAATCAGAACAGAGATGGCTTCAATAGGGAGAAACTAAAATAGTTTGCTTCAGAGACATAACACAGGGGCTCCCCCGAGGTCCAGTGTAGGATAAAGGAGGATTATTCTGAACTGTGAATTATGCAAAGCTATTGTGATAGAACTGGAAGTGAGCTGAACAGACCCCGTTTTAAACCGTTCCCTCAGATCCCCACAATCCTGGAGGGTAGTGGTGCATTTGAAATTGTCCGACTATGTCCTGTTTGTGTCTGTCATATTTGACATTTGCAATATTACAAATATTAAATAAATAATTTGTACCTAAGCACATGTGCTATAGCACCTTTATCCCCTTCATCCTCCCACAGAGTTTTTTTAATACCCTCTGCTACGTTCACACTATCACTCTAGCTGGACGACAAATAAGCTAGCTGTCGTTGAGGCCTTGACAACGTAAAAACATTTGAGAAGCAGTCGGATCACGTTTCCAACTAATCATGCTACTTGATTACTACTGGAATCAACACATTAGAAAACAGACAAAGCAATCAAATCCTTTCTTATGAGACTGTGTGTCTGCACATAAGGGGGAGAGGGGTCGATGTACCTTCCAGCTAGAATCTTGTAGTACCCAAATATCTGATCAGCAAGCTTGTAGACAAACTGATCAAAGCACAGGTTAACCTGAAGAAAAAAAAAATGTTTAAAAGTTTCAACATAGATGACCAATGAAATAGTAATGTCTTCTGGTTTAAGGAGAAAAATTATTTTCACAGATTTTTGTAAAGAACCGAGCCAAATCCATTCTACATGCACATTAACAAAGCTCTGCAAGCGGCTACATAATGAATAGAAATGCAGCTACTCAACAGCTCATGAAATGGACAGGAAACTGAGATTAATGAGGTGACTATAGGAGAGCCTGTAAGCAACAAACAGAATATTTAGGAAAGCCGTGCAGTCAGAGGCATTATGAGGGCGGTGATGCAGCCGCCACATATCTCAGATCATGATCCTTTACCTCTGCCTCTATTTCATCGTAGAGGAACTGCTTCTTGAATTTGGTCAGGGCGTAGTGTGCGCTGTCGTTGTACAAATCCAGAGGATATAGCACATACCTGCAGGGGATTAAGATGTTATTCTAGAATTAAACACACCCTGCAACCGTGAGAGAATTAATCTGTTCAGCAACAAGAATAAAAGCTGAGACGTGTAAAATAAGAAGCTTCATTTAGCTGCAGCAGCAGTTGGTTAAAAAAGGAAGCGTTACATCAAACTCATCAGTTCGATCGTGTTCACTCGAGGTTAACCATCGTCGTTCAGCGCCGCTCTTTGGAAACTAGCAGAACTGATACGCGCCACACAGACATCTGCTTAAATATGCACGACCTGCACAAAACACTTACTCTCCATAGTAAGTAAGAGTAAAACGCAGGGTTTTTCTTTTCTTTTTTTTCCAAAAAATTTTGGGTGAATATTTGAAGAATTACAGCACGTATGCTTCCTGCCAGCTGATGTGCTTAATGGCTTATGTAAAACCTGCCTCGTATCAACGTAATCCTGCAGCAACGATTTAAAGTAGACACGAAAACATTCACGGATAATCCCAATTTTTGGGATTTCATCCAGGGTCCTATTTGAAAATGGAAGATGAAAAGAAACGAGCGCTGAAGTTGTCAGAATGCATCTGTCCGATCGCATCCGCCAATCGCAAAGAGCCAGACTGTGACTAAACATGAAGTTTAGTTAGAGAAGGACAAACGCAGTCCTCCGTTTTTGCACCAAGTTGCAAATTATACCATGGAGAATATCTATTTCCACTGCTGTGAGAAGAACACCAAACAATCAGCCCATCTTTCACATAGGATGAAGAACTTAATAATAAGAATGGGAGAGAAACTGTCCAGTAGTTATCAGAGTTGGTGGTAACCAGTGGAAATAAATGTTCTTGGTTACAAAAGAAGCATATTTACTCCATCATTGAAGCCTCCTTAGTCTCCAGGATGTGATCGGTGAGGATCCAGGGCATGGACATCTCGATGGGGAACTGGATCCTGCGACCCATGGTGAGCTCCAGAAAGAACTCTCTGAACCACAGCTGGGAGAGGTCACAGCACTGCTGCAAGGTCTCTGAAGGGAAGAGAGGGGAGATGGAAGGTGGTTACATCAGAGTCCCCTTCCAAAAGCTGTCAGGGGCCTCGGGCTGGTGATGATATTTATCGTTTGCTGAACAAAATGATTTGAGTTTTAGACTATGACTTTCTGAGTGTGTGAGTGATGAGATGTGTGTGAGTTGGTTGCACTTTTTAAACAGAGCTTCAAAGTCCTGTACTTGAAGTTATGAGTGCTCAAAAATTATGACTTTTCAAGCCAACCTTCTAATCCCAGAAATGTTCATTAAATATCGTTAAATATCCAAAAGTCGTGATAAGAAAATAAAATAAGAATCATCTTATTCTAAGGGAGGCAGAGATGAAACGTTCTCAGGTGTGACTGATTGCATCTGCCTCTTACCGCTAAAGTTCAGCAGGTGAGTGTAAAAGAAGGACTCTCGGTGAAATCTCTCGATGTCCAGGATGGTGGGGCCCTCCAGGCCGCTGCGCAGAGTCTTCTTTGAGCCACTTTTTTCAGCAATGAGTGACTCCAGCATGGTCCTCACCATGTAGAGCTGCATCAACAAAGAGAATTGAGTAAAGGAAGACCTCATTAGTGCCGGCGCCCTGCTGACTGTACTCACAACCCTGCAAACACTAATCTCATTACAGGTGGGCAGCCGGTATGAAAGCTCCGTGTTGCTTTCAACATTTTCATCATCTCAGTCATTTCATAGTGGTGTAGAAAAGTGTTTGCCTCTTTCCTGGTTTCCTAGTGTGTTGCATATTTGCACCCGAGGGTGTGGTCCTGTCAGAGCGCAATGGATCAGCGCTTCAGCATGTTTATTTTTTTCCTCTTAAGCTAAGGAATAAAATACTGTAGCAGTTCAAATATTCCAGGTAACTGCTGTATCCATCTCAAATTAAAAGTGCTTTAGCATGGATAGAAACTCTTTGTTTCTTAGCAAGGCTTTTATTTTGAAAGAAACATGTTCGTTTTATTTAAAATACGGTACATGAGATTATCTATGGTGTCATCCTCTGACATTTCTTATTAATTCCCATGTTAATTAATAAAGAATAACTGAGGACAGGATGTGAGCGGTCAGTTATTATGCAAAACTGCCTCCACAGGAAGCAGAATTATATAATCCTGGAAACAAATCAAAAGCTAACTGTGCTGATGCGCTCTGGTGCGTA